TTTTTGGCCAAAATAGTCTTTTAAAGTTTTGGATGAGCTTTCCCAAGAGTTGCCTAAGCATCCCTTCAAAATTTGGCCTTATCCAAAGCTTGAGTAGGCATAACCGCCGAGCTCACCGTCTGCAGCCAAGAGGGCGCCGTCGGTGGACTTCTGGAGAATTTTGTCTTGTAGCCTCGGGAAAAACTCGCCGTCGGCGCGCTTAAGTTCAAATCTCCACATTTTGGTCCTTTTCGCTCCAAATTCGCTCCTTTTTGCATCTTTTGATCCATTGACTCTAATTCATCATTCCTGCAATAAAACATCAAAAATACCTTTCTTTAAAGTGCAATATCATTAAAAACAGTATAAAATAGGTATGAAAATTACAACATATTTTCCTTTGGTCAGAAGGACAAATTGAACTTGTCATATTTTGTTCTAAAGTTATCCAATAAGATCTTCCAGGGCTTAACAAAATCATAGCCTGGGGTTTGGGTAACTAAACTTTCATCTACTCATGCAATTTAAGTTCCTTGTAATATTATATACATGCCTTGCAAGTACTGACATTTTATTTGGTGGAACGAGAAGACTCGCCGGGTACGCTTTCATAGTTTACAGTACCGTCTTTTTTTATACCATCCACACTGTATTTTTATGCTTATAAAACTTGCATGTTAAACAACGATGTCACCCTGCACGAAAATCAAAATTGCTAGGATAACCACCAAAACTAAAATTAATCAAGATAAAACTCACTGCCATAACATTCAAAATATAAGACAACTCAACATTTAATCACAAACATCATAAAATAACAACTGCAACTAAATTAAGACGTCTCTATCGGATGATCGAGAATCTTTTGGAGGAGGTAACCTACGGTTGCTAACGAGGCTTCTCACAGTCTAAATGAAAGTATGGAACTCATTAATTGAGTTTAGTAAATTCATTTGGACTAAATGAATCCAATATAAAATAGTGGTACAGGAACGAGGGAACTGTAGGATCCTAACCGGTGTCGCTCTAATCAACTTTAATATGCCCCATGAAAAGTTAAAGAACTACAAGCATAGGAATGTCTGATTTGACTTTATAACCAGATACATTAGAAAACTTAAACTCGCCATGGCAAGGAGCATGGAGCTAGCATTGTGGGCAGCACAACCATCTTTAATAGCAAGAAGATCTACAACAACACATCTTTCCTTAAAATTAAACAATCAAGCCATAGGATTTCGAGGTTGTTTGCTTATGCAACATAAATCCTTAACTCTTCTTTAGGCTTTTGTACAAGCCCTGCTATACAATATAAGCCCTAACTCGTATTAGGATTCAGAGGTTGTCGTTATTCACGACCTAAATTTTCACATCTTTCAAGCTACTTGTGCAATCGTTTCACACAAATGTAAGCCCTAAGTTAATAAAACTGACAGAAAGAAACACTTAAATAATTTCTCCTCTAAACTAAAGCCAAACAATAGGATGGCTTGGGAAGTCACTGAGGTTCTCCTCTGAATCTATGACATCCACTAGTTCTTCCTCCTTTGGACTCTACAACTAAATGTTCTAAATTTGAGTCAATCCCTTTTCACACCTCCTTGTCCGATCTCATTGAAAGTTCTATCATTTTGACTTCTTTGAAGATAACATTTCTTGATTTTTATTGAGAGTTTTTTTAGGTGACTTTAGCTATCTAAGAAGTAATTAACTATAAGGGCTAGAAGCAAATCAAAAATCTTACCATTACTGGTACATCTAGTCCAAATTATAACTTACCGTTGGGAAGCCACAAACTGTCGATGTGCTAGAAGCAACCTTTTGATAATGCATATAAGGTTCTCCCCTTCCACTTCAACTACCTCTTCAATTTCTATTTCACGCATATCCAAAGCATTGTCTTGTAGTTCATTATCAGCTTCTCCTTTCATGAACTAAATTTGTTGTCGCGTTGGACATTCGTGTGATTTATGACTTAGTTGAAAACAATGAAAAATTTTGATTATGCATATAACTGTCTCCCCTTCCACTCCAACTAAATTGGTACATCTAGTTTGAAATATAACATGTCGTTGGAAAGCCACAGATTGTTGATGTACTAAAAGCAACTTTTTGATTATGCATATAACTGTCTCCCCTTCCACTCCAACTAACTCTTCAATTTCTGCTTCACCCATATCCAAAGCATTGTCTTGTCGTTCATCATCAGCTTCTCCTTTTATGAACTGAACTTGTTGCCACGTTGGACATTCATACAATTTATGACTTGGTTGAAAACATTGAAAAATTTTGAATTGGAAAACTTGGAGCTTGATATCTCTTTAACCAAAATTTTACCCATAACATAAACCTTCTCACCTGTTGTTGGGATGGATTAAGTTGTTGATTGGGATTAAAGAGAGTTTGGCTTCAGTCTCATATTAACAATCCTATTGCCAGATCTGTAATGTTCAATTGTCGATCTTCGTGACGAATTACCCTTCGTATCCTCGATGAGCTGCAATTTTACTTTGTATGCCAACTTCAATACTTTGACAAAAACCAAATATAATTCAATTCCAGTTTATCTTCAATGGTCCCTTCGAAACCGTCGATGTATTTGGCGATTAATTGATTATTAGACCCATTTAATTCTCCAACAACGAGTCAGTAGAATTCTTCAGCGTATGCATTGATAGATTTGGAGTCATGGGAACAATATCTATATCGAGTGCATAACATTTGTTCATAATCTGTTAGTAAGAAATGCCCTCGCAGAAGTTGCTTGATTCTAAACCATTTGCGAAATGCTCCTCCACCTTCTCGTTTTTGCATCTGATTAAGCTCTAGCCACCACGCTGCTGCCCTGCCTTCTAAACAACATGCTACACGTTTCACTTACTTTTCTGGTAGAATCTCCATATATTCAAAAAAGGTTTTCCACTAATCGTTTTCAATCTAAATTAAGAGTGTGATTGACCATCAAAGAAGAGAATATCAAATTTCACACGAAACTCACCATAATTTTTTTCACTCTTCACTCCAATTAAAATGATGAAATTAAAATGATGAAGAGAGCAAGGGAATGTTAAAATGTTACTTGTGAAATTACTTGGTAAGAATTTCAATGAAGAAGTTTCGTTGGAAATACAATATAAACAATATAATAAATTGTAGGGAAATTTACATACATAAAACCGAATTCTTATGTAATTACCCATCCTACATAAAAAGTTTAATATTTACCTGCTTATCTCTTATATTGTATTATAAAAGAATTACGTGTTATGTATGTAAATGCAGCTATATTGTATTACAAATTTATGAAAAAAATGAAGCGGATTTAGCTAGTAAAATGTGCATATTGGTAAGGAATAATCATAATGTTTGAGATTGTACTGGTTCATAGTCATTGACGAATCGAATTTATGAGTTATAAGATGAAGCTATGGGCAAAAGTAATGGGAAGACTTATGATAGATCATCATATTATTTTTATTAATCTTGGGAAGACTTATGATTGACTACTATAAGAAGTTATTTAATGTGCTTAAGGCAGCAATATATTCAGAGCATAAACTTCATGTACAATCCATTAATGATATAAAGATGTGTTAATTGTTGAACGACCCAAAAATATTCAGAGCATAAACTTCATGTTTAAATTTGCATTATATATATATATATATATATAAGAAATTTTTAGAGCATCAAGTTGGTTGGTTGAAATGGGGGAATGCTTCGGGCCTTTTGTGTGATAGAAAAGTACCGCTTAGACTGAAAGGCAAATTTTATAAGACGGGTGGTGAGACCTGCAATGTTCTATGGCGCTGAATGTTGGCCTTTAAAAGAGAAGCATAAATCTATGTTAAGCTTTGCCGAGATGAGAATGATTAGTTGGATGAGTGGCTTTACACTTAGAGACAAAATGTGAAATGAACATATCCGTGATGTGATTGGTGTCGCTCCGATGACAGACAAAATAAGGGAAAGTCGTCTTAGAGGATTTGATCACATTAAGCATCGACCATCTGATGATCCGATTAGGAAAGTAGATGTTTTAGCTTCGACTTATGTTAAGAAAGGCAGAGGTAGATCTAGGAAGACTTGAACTTATTGTATAAAAAATGATCTTAATTTACTAGAACTAGATGAAAACATGGCACTAAATAGGACGCAATTGAGAAAAAGGATTCATGTAGCCGACCTCACGAGTGGGATTAAGGCTTTGTTGTTGTTCTTGTTGTTGTGATCACAAATTTAATAAAAAAAAGACTGTATATGAAACTTTAATTTGTCATATAAAATAATAAAAAAAGACTTCATATGAAACTTTAGTTAGTCATATAAAATAATTAAATTTTATTAGCAAGTCTTTTAATATATTATTTACGGTCATAGAAATAGATACTATTTGTGAATTTAATGTGAACATGCGTACTTTTAGAGAGTTTATAAACTTCTATATAAATATGTGGCAAGAAAGAAGTGCAAAGCCGTGCAGAAGCAAGGAGGGTTGTAAGGTATGGTTGTATCAACTATATATTTGCCATTTACATGCTTTCTATAGAAAATTAAATAACTAATAATGCTTGTTTCTTCCATGCATGTCAACAGGTAATTATCTTTGGGATTAGCATTAATTGAAGATCATGGCAACCCCAGCTCAAATTCCACCTTATCAATTTACATATATATGGTCGAATGCTTGGAACATCCAGCCTGATGGGTTAGTGTGTTGTTTCGCATACCATTTTATAGATATGTACAAGTAATATATTATGTGAATAATAAAAGTTACATTTTTTTTTTATTTTCAGGTCAAAATATTATTCTGGGGGAGTCTACTTCTTTATAGGCCAACGCAGAAAGGTGCGAGAGCTTGGTCTTAA